GAAGTGGTTCTACTTGAAGAAGGACAAGCAACGGTTCTATCTTGGAGAGCACGAAGAGAAGCCCTACATCACCGTGAAGAACAAGAACTACATGATCAAAGTGATGTTCCTTGCGGCAGTGGCTCGCCCGCGATGGTCTGCGAAGAATCATTGTATTTGGGATGGAAAGATCGGTGTGTGGCCGTTTGCTGTTTATGAGCCTGCAGAGCGATCCAGCAAGAATCGAGCGGCTGGGACTTTGGAGCTAAAGACATACACTGTCGATCGCGACATTTATCGACAAGCGCTTTGCCGGATGGTCATACCGCGCATCAAAGCGGTATGGCCATCAGGCAAGCGGGTCGTGCTGCAACAGGATAACGCCAAACCGCACGTCACGGTTGATGACCCCGAAGTGCACTCTGCGTGCTCAGCTGGCGGCTGGGATATGAAGCTTACCGCGCAACCAGCCAATTCACCGGATTTCAATGCGAATGATCTCGGGTTCTTTGCTTCACTGCAGTCGTTGCAGCACAAAATGAAAGCTAAAACTATCGAGGATCTAGTCAACAACGTGGACGACGCTTTCGCTAAACTCCACTACACTGCTCTCGACAAAGTTTTTCTGACGCTGCAGTCAGTACTGCAGGAGACAATGCATATCGACGGATGCAACAAGTACAAAATCCCTCACCTCGCCAAGGACACGCTACGAACGAGCACTGGTTTGCTACCACCTTCATTGACATGTAGTGATCGAGTGTACGATAAGGCCAGACGTTTCTTAAGTTCGGTTGGGCAAAAATAAAAAGTCAAAACCGTACTTAGGCTTATATTTTCGGACACGCGCAGTAATAGACACCAGCTTATATTTTCGGACAGAGGAAGTATTCAATAGTGAGGTAGTTTAGCTATCAGCCAACCCCATAGACCGAATTTTCGAAATCCCCTTTTTTTCGAATATCAGCCTTGCTGTTGATAGAGACAGACTTACTGCACACATAAGTGTTGGTGAGATTCGAATAGAAGTAGCGAGTATGAGTATCATCAGGATCGTTCTTGCCTACAAATACGTACCCAAGAGCGATATTTACCGTAAAAGCACTTACCTGGATCGAAAGAACATTCTCGAGCTTATCGTTGAAATCGGTAGCCTCGATACCCTCATGTAGGTTTGATTCCATTTGATTACCATTGTAAAAATGGTACTTAGAATCAGCCTTGTAGTCAGGCGACAAGTGTTTCTCAAGGGTTTCAGTCGAAGCATTGTACTGCTTAGCTACCAATCTCTGGTTGATTCGGCGCGAAACGTTGCTTACATAAACAATCTCACCCGTTCTACCACGCCCTTTATCACGGTAGCTACTACCCCATTTGATAGCTTGGATATTTAATCTCTTTAAGCCTTCGAGCTCGTATGCAAAAATGTTGCCTATATATACTTTGGCATATTCTTCTTCGTGGATATGTCTTCATAAAATTTGATCTTATATCAGGATCGATTAATTAATTTAAACATTTGGCTTTATACCTTTCTGGAGGTTTTAAGCAAAAAGAAGGATGGTGGACAAGAATAATCACACGATACTTCAGTTGTTGGCCGGTCGAAAGGTGGCGTTTGCTGCCCATCGCATCGGTCTGCTTGGCCTTGATGCTTCTACTTGCCTTTCACATGCTTGGTCGGCATAGTTAACGACGGTGATTCGTGTTACCCAAGGAGGAAGGACAGGGACACAATGAACCGAGAACTCATCTTCATTATTTCACTTCGTGCTCGGTTGCTTCGAACACCACGCTTGCTCTAGTCGCAATAGTTTTGTATCTGTCGACCCGATCATCACTGAAAATGACGTGCGGGAGAACGACGTACGATTTCCCTTTGCTGGTTGTGGGAACCTTGCCATCGTGAATACGGCTATTTGTACGCCAATTCAAATCCTTGAGGTCTTTCCACTCGTCCTCAGTGAAGAAGCTTGGCAATGGCTCACTGGTCAGCTGCCTCCCACATTTCAGACGAATACACCATTCATCATTTTTGACAGCACTGAAGACGTCGCGACAATTCGCGACGTACAGCTTGGCGAAATTCTGCGCCAACGCATTCAAGAACTTGCGACACGGACTCGGTGCTCATTCCCTTGTATCGCAGTTGCTTCTTGATTGAAGCAGCTTGCAGCTTAGCTGGAATCACCACCAGCGCGTGAATCTGTCTCGACTGTGGGTTGGGCATATTATTTTTTTCCAGCACGTACATCAACGAATTCTCTGCCTGTAGCTTTTGGTCCTCCTTCATTAGCGCTTCGATGAGATCCCCCTTCTCGCCATTCTCAGCTTCGTGATATCTTCCAAGCAGGACGTCAGCCAGGCGCCGCCATCCGTCTAAGCTAGATAGAGCTCCAACTTGTCTGCGTCAATGTCCTTGAAATTGATCGGCTTTTCCGCCTTGGTCGCCTTCTTCAGTTCCCCGCCAGACTAGGGTTTAGGGTTTAGGGATAGCCTCGACATTGATCTCGACTATTTCTCGACGTGGAATCCTTTTCGAAAAGGTACTTTTTAAAAGACAGTCCTACTTCGACTTGTTAACGGAATGCTCCATTGACTTTCTAGGATTAGAGATGCACATTGACCACGCAGCTTTGAAGATTGTAACGCAAGTATTCACTTCTGTGCGCTACAAAGTAACCCCTCTTGATTCTATGCAGCCGAAGCAGCGAGATTTTGAAAGAATAGAATTCGGGTTGTGGATGAATCGTCTCGAGGCAGCTGATAGAATGGAAAACGCTTCGAAACGTACATTGGAATTCAATCAAGTCGTTGATC